TAAAAAAATATCAATAATTGATTCATATTTATCATTTATAATTTGCCTTTTTCAATATATGCATTTCAAATATCATTTAATCTTATCATCAATAATTATATCATCTTTAGAATTATGCCCAACTTTTATCATTAAAAATAAGATAATATACAAAACTATTAATTAAACCTATTTTAAATAGAATTATAATCAATATTTTTTTTTTGTTTTAGAATACTTTTATTATTTAATAAAGTTATATCAACGTGCACTTGGTGCACGTGCATTTAAGCTAGATGATGTGGCTATAAATTTGATCACCTCATATTCCTAGAAATTCAATATACATTTGTAAATGAGTAGCAGTTTTACTATGTTTTATAGGAATTGAAGCAATCGATACATTTAGCGAATGTGTGATTGCAATTATTTTTGGTGTCATTTGTTGCTAATCATGATTTATCTATAGGATGTGCATGATATCAAAGTATACCATAAGTTTGGTGTTCATTAATTAGCTACGCTTCTACTTTAAAATGTAGGCTAATTATTAATAAATCATGTTAATTTAATTGATGTTAAAAATAGTTATTTTGAATTATATTGATCAATTATTTGGATTATATCACATGTTTTGTATTTGTGTCTACCTACTATAGATGCTTTACATTTTTTGTTTCATACTGCCACTTCTTCCTATGGATGTAGCAAGTGTACGTATCTGTATGTTAAATTATGTTAAACAAATTCAATAAATTCATTATTTGAGATTCAAATAGACACAACTCTCCATCATATACCATAAAAAATTACATACATTTGCATTATCTATGCTTTTTTTAAATCTTTTTTTTTTTGTGATATTTTTTGAGTTTAATATGATGAAAATAAATTTGGGTTAATCTCTGATATTGGGTCATTTAGTTCTCTCTTCAATCCTTTGGAAGAAAGCAAAGTCAATGGATTTAAATATTGAATTAGTAATAAGACCATAAAATATAATTAATTAAATTCAATGTGAAGTTCTTTATGATACAAGATTGTGAGTCATGATGGGAACTTGACATTTGCATTCTTCTACAATTTTGTCTAAGTCTATTTCACAAGCTTCAGAAAAGTTTTTTTAAAGAGTCACAAAAGAAGTTTCTTTGCCTTCTAATCCTTCAACAATATCTCTTATACTTTGTAGTTATACATGAATTTGCATTAATTATTATTTGTATTTTTTGTATTTAATTTTCCCACTTAAATATGTCAATATATGTTTTATTTTTGATTTCATATGCTTTATATTTTGTACTCAGTCTTTTCCTTCATAACCTTCTAATTTATTGAAGTCAAGACAATAAGACCATGATTTAATGTTGCTCTCATTCTCTAATGAATATATTTACTCCGAAAATTGATCATTTTTTAATCATTTTATATTCTACAGTGCTACACTATGATCCGTTTATCTTCATTCGGAAATGAAATATTATTTTATTTTATTTTATTGTTATAATTATTTTGTGTCAATATTATATTTTATATTAATATTCTAATTTTAATTTTATTTTGTGTTTTCTCAATAATGTATTTTCTATTAAAAAAATTTTTCTCCATGCAAGTAACATTATAACATTATATCATTAAATGATTAACTACTTATAGTGATAATCTTAATAATTTTTTATCTTCAACAAATGTTTATAATGAAAATATTAATAATATAAATTTTTATTTATACATTTTTATTCACGTGCATTAAATGCACGTGCAATAAAACTAGTATCTAAAAAATATTCATAATATTCATAATCTTAATATCTATAACATATAAAGAGTTACACTGTAAAATTTTACCAGTGCAAAATTATTCTGTATTTTTCACTATTTCGAGGAACAGAAATTTAATAAAAAATATGGTAAAATTACATATTTTTAATAAAATTTAAATGGGCCATAATATGACTACTCCGAGAAACAAGCAAGTTCTCCATTGGGCTGACGGACGAAAATGACTCTATGATCTCCAAACCCTAGTTTTCTATTTCTCTCTCTCCTCTCTTCCCCTCTTTTTTTTCTTTGTTAGCCAAAATGAACAAAAATGACTGGGTTCTTAAAAAGCTTTAAGTGGATTAATATTTATAATAAAAAAAGATATGGGTGGTGTATTGATATGTTATGATAGTGTATTATTTAGCTCTAAAAAATCATATAATTCTTTTATATCTTAAAATTTAGGAACACAAAAATTTACATAAAAATATTCACAACTTAACTAAGCATGTTCAAAACACTATAGTTAAATTAGTTTGCAAAACGGACAACTAATGGTTCAAAACTTCTCTCTAGTCGACTAGTGCTAATTTCTTAAGAATTTTCACTTAAGCCCAAAAATTATGAAAAAATTAGAGTAATTAAAACACGACACTATATATGTTATGTGAAAGATAGTTTGTGATTTAAATTTATCACGACAGTTAAAATAATTTTTGGCTGATCTATATAAAAAAAAGCTCTTTAAAAAAATTAAGGGTTATCATAGAGCCACGATCATATTCATCTTTTATGTCCACAACATTACCTTACTCAACTCTTAAATCACTATTCAATACATCATCATGCAATATTGTTCAAACCTACCTTGCATCATTCTCATTTGTCGCCGCTTCTTATGCTTCTGGAATACATTTGTTGCGGCTATAACATATAATTTAGATCTTTTTGGCAACTTGACATATAAATGGGAGATTAATGTTCAATGCATATAGATATCTCTTAGAAGAAAGAATGAAAGAATGTATTATGTGATTATTTATGATGAAGGAATTAATCTTATGGATTATAGTCTACTAAAATGATACATTATTATTAGCTTCAAACTAAATTGATTTTTATCCTTTATATAACTATGTATTACATTATATTCAAATTGAAAAATAGGATCCTCTAAATTCTTGGAAGTAAATACCATGTATGAGCACATAGAGTATGTTCCAATTTTTTTATTATCTAAAATGAAATATCTAAAATTCAAATTAGAATTATAATATCTAAAACAATAAAAAAATATAATATTAATATAGCTATAGTTGAAATTAAGAGAAAATATTTTTTATGTCAATGTTTAGATTTAAATTTTGATCTAAAAATTAAAAAAATAACTATTTTATCATAAATTTAGTAGATTGATTGAAAATTCACAATGTTTAAAAATAAATTAAGAAAGAGATTTATGATATATTAGAAGATCAATTTCAAGAGTCCTTGCAAATTGACAAGATATATAAGCGAAGCTTAGGAGATGCCCCAATTTCGTCGCTCTTCTCATGCTGAAGGCGTCTTCTCAAATCTCCTCTTTTCATCATCTTCTCCCAATCTTCTCTCTATATCTCGCTTTAGTTTTCGAAGGAGGGTGGGGAAGGCTTTTGCTTTTAACCAGCCATCAACTGGCACTCAAACCGCGGCAGAGCCGCAGGCATAGGTGCTCGATTTGGATCCTAGCCAAAACGCTTTTTCGATTTGAATTTTTTGGTTTTACTTATCGGTGATTGTAACGGCCGCGTTTTCTTGTCGCCGATTCCTGTGTTCTGAAGCATGTATTTTTTGGGATTTTGGTTCTCTTAGATTTCGTTCATCTGAGGATGATTTCGGATTTGCGTTCTAATTGAGACCCAACACTTGTATGGAGCTGAAAGAAGATTTTGAAGTTGAGTGGATCGATTTTCAGGGTTTTGGTTTGTGACGTTGTTTTTTTCATTTAATCCTTCACCGGTCTGAAACTGCAAGAAGCTTGGATTTCCTGATATGGGGATTTCTGATGTCTAATTGCGCGCAATTTGGGGTTTCTATGGTTTCTTTGCTGAGATGGGCGGGGAAGTTGGGATCTAGCTTCACCTATTTCAGTTTTCGATGTTTTTCAGCGGCTTTTCTTTTCTGTTTGGGTTGAGTGGCTTGAGGCTCATTGGTTTTTGGTACGTGCAGGCAAAGGCGGGGAGAATAATTAGTTTAGTTTGAATAAAGTTGGTTTGAGTAATGGACGCGAGTTTCACCGAGGATTATGGAACGGGTGCTATGTCGTCTCATGCGGAGGGCATGTCAGTTGGGCAGCGATGCCAATCCGTTGATTCTCTTGCAGAATGGCGTTCCAGCGAGCAATTGGAAAATGGAACGCCTTCCACTTCACCCTCTTTTTGGGACACTGATGATGATGATTGTGGTATGTATTGGACTGTCTATTTAGTTACTTTGGTTCCTGATAAACTGTTCTGCTTGGGTAACATATAATCATATTGATTAGCATAGTCTCCCTTGCCAAGGGATGAACATATGTGGAGATGGGATGCATCTACTCTTTTAACGCAACTATTACTGTTTGTTGATCAAGGCTACATACGCCATGCTCACAAAATATTAACTTTATTTTTCACCTTATAGGGTGTTTATAGAGGCTCTTAAACTGTTGTTATGGCCATTTTTAGCCAAAATTTTATTGTCTAATTATTTCAAACCTGACAGCCTACTGTTCATGTTGAGTGGTCATGTGATTTTTTTCATTCCCACTAAAAAAGGAAAAGAATAATAACACAATAATACTTTTTCCCCCCGAAAAAAGAGATGATTTGTGACTGATTTTTGTTGGCAATGTTACTATCAAAATTTTGGTGTTGGAATTATTGCTTAATTTTAACAGGGCTTAGATGGTAGAGCCAAAAAACATTGATAAATTTTAGGGAATCATAATTGATGATATTGGCTAGCTAATGTCCTATATAATATATTTTTCTTTGTGTAGTTTGAGTGAAATTGTTGAATATCAACATCTCTTTCCATTTGATCGTAAGACTTGTTCATGCATTAAGTTTTTCTATCAAATTATTTTGGGGGTAAGACAACTTCCTTTGACTTTAAAGACATTGACTCATGCGATTTTTATTGGGCTGCATATGAAACTAAGAAGATGGAAATTTATTTTCCTATACAATTATGTTTTTGTTCCATATTGTTAGGGTTGGGCTTGATTAAAACTCCTTAAATGAGCACTAATTGTTTCATCTTCATTTATTAACGTTAGAAGGGAGAGGATTGGAAAGCGCTACATCTTTATGGAATGGGCTTCATAGTACAAGTATATACTTGCGTGTGTATATTTAAAAGAAGAGGACAATTAAAAAAATGCAATATAAGAGAACAATAATGAATAGTGTAAATTCATTCGGTAAATAATTAGTGTATATATGATAATTTAAAAATTTTTACTCTCCTGCGTACTTAAGATGGCTTAAAAATATGTCAACATGCATTTAAAAATTATACAAACCGAATATGATGTAATCGAAGGTTTTGTTGCTCAATGGTTGTAGGAGTCGCAAGAGGCGCATGATCAATGTATAAAATATAGTGTTGTGTGAATCGTACATACAGAGTTGGCAACGAGATTTATGCAAAAAAATGGCACAAATAAGGTTCTTAAATAGAGGTATCAGTATAGAATCTTAACATTATTATTATTGTAGAGCATTAATGAAGACTGCTGATAGATAATATTAATAGAGAGATATCAGTTAAGACTTGAGAGTGTCTATTGATTGAGCAATTATTACGTCCGGTCAACCGAACGCATTCAGAGGCCAATAACCACTCGCCACATCATCAAAAAATTGGTATTTAGCACTCGGTATTGCTCGGTATACATTCAGACCGTTCGGTTTTTGACCGGACGTAATAATTGCTCCTATTGATTAGGGGTGTAAACGAGTCGAGTCGAGTTTTGCCACTATCGAGCTTAGCTTGTTAGTCGGAAAGCGAGCTTGAACTCGAGCTCAAAAGGCGAGCTCGAACTCGAGCTCGTCCAACTATAAACGAGCTCGAGTCACTCGTGAGTATTGGCTCGCTTAGTTCATTTTCCCAAAAAGCTACAACATGTATGATAATTTTCAATTTTCTAAAAAAAGCTGCACATTTTTTAAAAAAGCTCCCGCTCCCGCCCAAACTATCATTTTTTCAAAGAACTCCCACCCAAACTCTCATTTTTTTTCAAAAAGCTGCATTTTTTTTCAAACTCTCCGCCCAAACTCTGCTTCTACCGTTAAACTCCTTTATAAATCAAATTTTTTAATTTTTTTAATATTTTTTTAAAGACGCAACATTTATTACAAAACATTTATTAAAACTAATATTATTATGTTTAATTAATAGTTTTTTGAAATATTACTCTGTTTAATTTTTAATTTTTTATATTAATAATGATTATAGCCGGCTCGCGAGTTCACAAGCCGAGTCTCATCGAGCTCCCGGTTCGAGCTCGAGCTCGACTCGTGAGCTCGATAAGCTCGGCTCGCGAGCTCGAGCCGATTCACCAGTTGACTCGGCTCACTTACACCACTACTATTGATTGAGAGCATCAATAGAAAGATATGAATGTCGAGTCTTGACAAGAATATTGAAAAAGAACTTTGGCGGAGAGGCCAACATAGCAAGTTCATAAGATATTAACATGATGAGAGCAAAGGTAAATCAAAGATGTGCAAATCTCTAGGGAAGATAGCTAAGCATCTTAGTGTTTGACAAGAAAGATTTGAATCTCACAGAGGGAGAAGCTAGTAGAGCACAAACATGCTGCGTTTGCCGTTTAGTGGTAAGTGTGAGAAATGGCTCATATCAGATGCTCAAGAAGTACGACATCAATAAAAAGGTGCTTAGAGAAGATCTAGAGGATTCTGGGCTATGAATTTATTATCATGTTAGGAGAGAGAGAATTATAAATAACCATATTTTTACTCAGTTGTCTTCATAGTATAAGTATATATGCTCTTGCATACAAACAAGTGTAGAGACCAATAAAAAACAAATCAATAAAAGAAAACATCTTCAATGAATAGAAATGTTATGGTAATGAATAGTGTAGATTATTGCCATAAATATTTAGCGAATGTGATAATTTATATATGATAATAATTAAAAGATTCTCATAACACCACATCGATTGGTCAGTGAGTTTTGCTGAGATTTCATACCCTTGACTGGTGTAAACACTATATCTCCACTATAGTTGGTGTTTTGATCAATATTTTTACCTTCTAAAAATTAAAATGGATGTGCACATTATATTGAATATGAGAATATCTTAGAGTTCCTTTGGCAAATTGATACCTTATTGAACCACCTCCCTAGAAATATATAGCAACAAAGGATGCTTTTACATCATAGGCATAGTGGAAGAAATAATTGTGGTTGATGTTTCCATACCATGTTTTTGCTGTCCTATGAAAAAATTAGATATTTTTATTTTTCTCACATGCTGAGGTTCAAATATGCAAAAATCATGAATTTGAATATTTATCTCTCAATTTTGACTTATTTGTTCCAATGTCTTAAATCGTTCTAATTCATTCTTTAGTATTTATATGGCACTGTCGAATTGAAACTTGAAGTACTGTAAATAGAAGAGCAAAGTTATTCCTTGTGCTATTTTGAGTAATTATGCACCCATTGTACTGTGTTGGCTAATTATTAAAACTTTGCTAACAATTGTATACAGGCATAAAAATAAATCATTTTGATTTTCTTAGTACACCATGAATGAAACATGTTTTTTTGTGCAATTGAGTTTTATGTTATCTATTTCAGATATTCTTTTCTTTGCTTGCTCAAGTAAAATACTTTCTATCCTAGGGTATTTAATTTTGATTTTTTTATTTTTATCTATGTACGCAATAAGTTATGGTGATTAGCGTACTCCTTTGTATTGTGTAATGCTAATTTTTTAAATGGAGTAAAAGTTCTTCAAAATTTATTATTATATTCAGTTTATTAGCGTTCATCACTTGGATTTTTAATTCATGAATTATTACCAAGTTTCTCTTTGCCTTATGTGTGTGAGGTCTTAGAATGATCATAAATTAGTCCTTATGATCTTTCATTTGTTGTTGGACTAAAAGTCTACATTAGTGGTTTCCCAAACTGTTTTTAGACCTTAGGGGGGAGGATATTTGTGAGTTGTTATAGAGTGGAATAGAAGTTGAATACATGAAGTCAGATAGGTTTGGAATTTGATAGCTTTTTTCATTAGGCTGGTGAAATGAGGGCTTTCTTGTAGTGGTCATTCTTATGGCATCTGAGTAAGCGGAGCTATCAATGACTCACCATATTTGAGCATGTTGAGTATGACATTTTTGACCCTCTTGTTTGTTAAACTTGACCTATAAGGAACTTATGCTTTTTTAACTTGTTGGTTGAAGCTAAAAAATTTGGAGTCTTTTTTTTTTTTTTTGAGTTTCAAGATCTTGGAACTTGTATATTTAAGAATATCATTGTATAACTATATGGATGTTTTATTGAATGAGAATCTTCTCTTTGAGTTTTGCCTTGCTTTGTCGACTACTTAGGAGAACCTTTTCTTGGATTTGGGTCATTTGAACTCATTAAGTCAAATAAGCTTAGAAATTGATAGTTCTTATCATCAAACTGATGAAATAGGGACTTTTTTGCATGAATTATTAACTCGAACATGTTTGAGCATGTTGAGTATGATCTTCTTGACCTGCTCGAGTCCTAGACACTATGGATAATTTATGCTTTTCCAACTTGATTGGTTGAAGCTTGCAGACTTTGAAACTTTAAATGAGAATTTGACTCTTAATAGGACACAATGTAGAAAAAAGATTCATGTACTCGACTGCACGTAGTGGGATAAAAGCTCGTTGTTGTTGTTGTATATGTTTTGTACAAAAGTTAACTTTCCCTTTTTTTTTTGCTTGTGTAACTATATGAGACTTGTTATCAATCATTATTGATTTATATTTTTGGGTTTGTCGGCATAAAGCACAATGTAAACCCAAATGAATATAAAAATGTCCTTGCCTATCATTAGGATTTTAGGTACAATATTTTTTAATTGGATATCTATGTGCAATATTTCCTTAAATTTCGACCACTAATTGGCAGTATGTGGTCTTGATCATTTAGATTGATAAGTTGATAGGCTCTTTCTCGATATGCCTTCACAATAGCATAGGGTTGAAGGGGCCTTTTTGATTAGGCTCAAGATTTCCACCAATTTTTCAACGAGGAATGATTTGCTTTCTCAACATAGTACCAGTTCCACCTTGATATGTCCAAGATTCTTTTTGTTAGCTTTGAGAAATATCTTTTAAAGGGTACGGAATAACAACCGAAGTTATATATTGTTCACTGAAATCAAGGTTTAAAATTGCGTAA